ACAAGTCTGTGAAAGGGAGCCGAGTGCTGATGAGTTAGAAGAGAGGGGGGAGGGGGCGGGGCAATACTTGGCCGCGTTCTCTTTTGGCAGGAGGAGCAGGCAGAATCTTCACCAACCATAAACATGGACCATGATTAGAGCAAGCGATAACGAGGTGTTGGCTAGTGGTCCCCCTTCCCCTCGCACCCACCAAATACGATAGATACGAAAGCCTCAAAATCAACCACCAGAATATGTTTGATAATTTTTCCTGGCCTGGTGAGATCAGGACATTTCATCCTTGTCAGATCACACAAAGCCCAATCGCATCAATGAATGCCGGCGGTTTGTCGATCAGCAGGGGCACAATTTTTTACCTTTGGCGCATTACCCTTTTATATAGCCACTCATCGTTGAATTTTGTTTTTTTTTTGTGTCCCATTAGTTCTATCTTACTCCTGTAAACTCAGGTTTTTTCATTGGGTGATGCAATCGTAAAACCTCGTTTTGAGTAGATTACGTCTTAGCATTTTCTACGGAAACTGTAGTGAACTAACGTCACGGTGTTGTCGAAGCCCCTTTAGCGTTGACCCCAGAAAAAAATACTTCATATTTATGGTCCGAGTGTATAACGTTCGCTCCATGTCGCAGCGAGCTCGGCGAAAAAGACATTGCAAACAGGGTCATTCGCTTCGGGACCCAATCAATAAAACGTGGCAAGGCTGCGTCGTGCCAAGACAACTAGCTAGAGAATACGTGTGCGCGCGATGCCGCGATTCAGGGATCATTGTATACAACCGTCTGACTTTTGGGAACCTGTACTGCTACGAACGAAAATTCAGCGAAAATCCTGAATTTTCAGTAGTGAAACAATGCCCATGTTCGATGTTGAGTTTAGGATGTATCGCACGAAACAGTTGTTACACAGATCGCGCGGCTCCATTTTAACGTCCTGAAATACGGGGAAGGTTATTCAACGTCCCGTACCGCCCACCACCATCATTTCTCTGGGAGTTTTCAGATCACGTGCTATAGGGCATGACAGATGTTGACTATTTTTTTATTACAAATCAGAACATTCTGGAGTTGTTCGACACTTATTGTTCGCAAAGCGCAGCATCGGACGAGGGGTATGTGACAAGAGGATCGTAATTTGCCGCGCTGCTGGGCGTCGCGTGCGACGTCCCGCCCGCAAAGGACGATGGTTTCAGGCAGTAGATGGCGACAACATGCAATTAAGGACCGAAAACAGTAATGAGTGTCTACGATGACGGGGTCTACATGAAGTCCGGTGCTCCATTCGACAGGTTAAAACGAGTTATGAAAACGCCGCGCCCATCGCCGCGCGTGGCGGTGCGGCGAATTACGATCCTCTTTACCGTCTCCCCGGACGAGAGAACAGTTAGCAAAAAGAACAGTTACAGTAGTTTTCGCTGCAGACGCTGGGGCGTGTCAGCGGATTGGGTTTGCGGCTATCCTGTGAACCGCGTATTCGGTAAGAGAATGAGAACTCGGAACAGGGCCAGTGAGGGTTGAGAGATATGGTAGAAAGCGGAAACAACAAGCAGCGAAGAAAGCTAGAGCGCTACCTCTCGGGGAAGCGTAAGTGGGTTTGTCCCAATGTGACAGACGTGGACAGGGTACGTCTAGAAGTTTTAGCATCTTCTTTAGTAGCGAACCGGTAAAGTTTTACCGCTTGCCCTGCACACAACAGTGATTTTACAGTCCATACCTGAGGCAATACGAGGCTAAAAGAGCTGGTTACTGTAAGGATTACCTCTTGTCCCGCGTAACAAACGTGCTGTTGCCTCTGGTGTTCCTGACCATAAAGGTAAGCCATTCAGACCCATTATAAAAGACACACAGTTGAGAGAAATTCAGAGCCAGCCAAGTCTTAAAAATTTTGCGTTCTCTGGAAGTCTCATGATATGACATTTGCAGATCTTCGGCTCCCTTACATTGTGCAAAATTTCAAGGGGAACCACAAGAATGATGAATCTTGTGAGACTGACCATATTTTTGTTTTCTTTCTTCATCTGTACAGTTACAGCACAATAACTTCTATTCAGTTAGAGGGCGAAGTGTGCCCACCTGGGGGGGGGGGGGGAGTCCATTCTGCACTTTTGCACCCCCCACCCGTCGATTGTCAACCTACCTAGACAGCCTCTCCTCAAGTTGACAGGTTTTCAACATGATGGCTTGACGACATTGTTCCAGCCTCACAAGAGTTCACACAGGTTTCGCCAGAGTGAGACACGTAAACCGGAACTAAGGAAGCAATGACAGTACAAAATGCCCCCCCCGTCGACAAACTGTGCCCAGTTAGAGTTTACCCAGTTATTCCATATGTCAGCACCAATTTGCATATGCAAGCATAAGTTTCAGTTTAACGGTTTATTATGCTTACAACAGATATCAGACTTCTTAAAAACCTTTAGTGACAGTGAATGTCCCAATGGATGTATTGAGTATCACGAGTATCACGAAGATAAAGCGAAATTTGTGAAGCAGTAATATGTTCCATCAGAATCATACGTATAGATACAAAACAGAAAAAAAATACGAATGAAATCATAACTTCAGTGTATGTGAATTATAATCACAACTCGACTTCATACTAAAAACATTCCGTTAAAAGAGAACAGTCAAAGGCCAACTGTAAGAAAAGCGTTTACCGAATTTACATGCAGCCGGTACTATTTACTAGGGAACATGCATTTACAAGGGCATGGTGATGTTCTCCCCGCGTATTCTCCGAACGAGCCTGATGTCCCTGGGCATAATCGTGACTCGACGAGCATGGATCGCTGCCAAGTTTGTGTCCTCGAACAAACAAGTTAGGTATACCTCTGCTGCCTCCTGAAAACCAGATTTTGCCTCCAACCGAAAATCTTAAAGACAGCGCCCGCGATGGACTTTGGCAGGTCTCAGGGGTCAAATTTGTTAGAACAGGTGGCCAATGAAGCACTAATCAAAAAAAGTAGGAAAAAGGTGTGGAAGAGCGTGAAATAAGACCCTACGAAATTTAAGGCATGTGGACGAGTTTCGCAGACCTTTGGTGAGTTCTCCAATACACGTCGCCGCCTCGGAACTCCAGAAACTTAGCGTTTATCAATGCCAGCAAGCACTGATAACTGTTAACCAGTCGGGGCGGGATTAACAGGGAAGGAGGCGTCAGCTCAGCCTTGTTGACTCCGCCCTCGTCAACCAATCGATTTCGAGCCGCAAAGAGTGGGATTTCCGCTGTGGTTGCGTACTCCGCGTTCGTTTTCATTGGAGGGTTTTTCACTTTGGTTGATCGCGGACGCTGCCTTTAAGCAACTGAACTATTGATCACTCTTAGCTTCCTCACTGTGTGTCCATACTTTGCGGCACAGTTCTGAGCGTCCAGGATTTACAGCTGTAATCGATACCTACACTTTCCTAGTCGCTCACAACGCTGACAGACATCAAAACGCTGCCGCAAAGTATAAGAGCATGCTTAAGCTGCCGCATGATGCCTCACCGCGTGTAAAGCAAAAGAACAGATGGAAGCGGAGCTATATTCATACCAGAATCTTATTGCTTTAATGTGACGATGCTTTAGTGTGTCGAGACAACTAGCTAAGAAGTCAATTAATCCGCGCGCGTTGCAACAAATGATGTGTATTAAACATCACCCGCGGCGGATATCCCACCTGAAATCTGAATCGGCGCTGTTTCATCGACGGGGGGCATTTTGTATTATAATTGCTTCCCTGGTTCCGGTTTACAAATCTCACTCTGGTAAAACTTGTGAACGCTTGTGAAGCTGGAGCAAGATCGTCTAGCCACCATCCTAAAACGTGTCAACTCGAAAAAAGGGTACCTAGATGGGTTGGCAAATCTATGAAAAGCAGAATGCCTTCCCCCCCCCCCCCCTCCCGTCGATAAACAGCGCCATCTGAATCTTCTACTCTTACGCCGTATGTGACAAGACAATCGTACTATGCCGGTCTATGGGTCGTGGCGAAAGACAACGCGCGCCACAGACGACTTATCATGCCCCATGGCTTGGATGTGAGTGTCACAGTAATGGGAAGATGCCTTTAATGGAGTCTTACATTGCCTTCATACTAATTTCGATGCTACAGTCGATAAATTGACGCGTCTAGAATTCTCCGCGCATGGCCACACAATGCGCCACACGCAACAACGTGACAAGTTACGACTGTCTCGTCATTCTCCAGTTTGCGGTCTTGCAAACAAATGCAACTTAACAATCGATGGAGTATTTTGTTTTGTTGTAAAATATGGAAAGGCGCTAAATCAGCTGCAAAAGATTCCAAGAAAATCAGCCTTCTGCAGGAAATTTCGCTGCCCCTTTAGGTTTTTTACAACGTTCAGAACCAGGTGAGGCTTCAAAGCAGTACATGACTACGACATCTTTGCTTTAATGCTGAAATAATACGGAAAACAATGACTTCAGAAGAACACACCTTGAAGAGCCAGCAGGGCATTGGATTGCCATCGCAAGTCTTCCTTTATACCTCTTTCCGCCGCTATCTAAACAGGATAGACTCATAGAAGATATCCTATTCTGGAAATGAAGAACCTTGGCATAAAGAGCTCACTTTATTGGCGACCTCCCTTACAACTCGCTGGAAGGAGATTCTGGGGATCTGAAGTTCCGTGGTTCTCTGTAAATGACGGATTTCTTGCAATGCCCTGACTCCGGGCCCTAAAATAAGGATCTCTTCAAGGTTTGTTACTACAAAGCAACTAAATGATTGATGCTGTGATTTCAGTGAAGTAGCCTAATGTTGCCATACCAACAAAGTCAGGCCTGAAGGAAAGCAAGTACAAGTCGTGTCTAGTGGGGTTCAGAAATAAAGAAGTACTGGTATTGAGTTACTAGCGAAGAAAAAAAATCAGAAGACACTAATGAAACTGCTATAAGCAAGAGAGCCCTGTCCGATCGGAACATGGTATGGGCAGGGGCCTTTCAAGGCACGTTCCGCGTTCGTTGTGCAGACGTCCTCCGTTCCTGGACAAGGTGTTCCTGTCCGCAAGCGCGCAGGATGTAGTCTCGACGAGGACTGTCAGTGAGACTGAGTCCGACATACAGCCTATCCGTTCTTCACTAGTTGCTGAAGCAAGGAGGTGACTCCATTTGGAGAGAAACGACTGACAAATGAGGTGATATATTCCTGCCGCTCGCTTGAAGAAAAAAGAAAAAAGGGCCCTTGACACGTTTCTCATCCGCAGCGAACAAGACTGCCACACTTTCGCGGCACAGAAATATGTGATGGCAACATCACCCGAACGCGACCAAGGCAACGTCCCGCCCACTGCTGAGTACTATGCCCACCATTTCTAATGGCTACCTGATGGGCGGCTGTTGTATACTTACTCTTTCCATCCCAAGAGGTGTGAGTGATCCAGTAAGGGAAGAAGCTGGTACCAACAAGTGAGAACTCGTCCAGGCAGTACTGCCAGATCAGTTAATATTATGTTGATATGTTCATACTTTGCGCCAACAATTTGTGCGCTCCGAGCGTATGTCAGCATACGGCAATTCGAGCTACTAGGAAAGTGTAGATAAAGATCCATCGTTTTCAGCTTCCACCGGTGCCTTCAGCGACTGCCCGCGAAAACGCTCGAAACGACGGACCGATACCTGTACGTTCAACACGTACGCCCAGCGTTTCCGGCGTACGTTAGATCGATACCTACACTTTCCTAGTCAGCCGAGACGCTCAAAACTCTACTGTACGCTCGAGACGCAGGCGTACGCTCAAAACGCTGATGGAAAGTATGAACGCAGCCTAACATTGCAAATTGCGCGGCTCAGGACTGACCATATGCACCCATAAAGTAATGTGCATTCAATGAAAGAAGGCAAGTGAAACAATGAAAAAGAAGTGAAACTAGATAGAAACTTACTTTTGCGCTTCTTAGCTTTCAGTATAGCGGGTTCCTTATCAGCTTTCTCACTCCTTAAGTGTCGTTTCGTTTCTAGTCTGCGATTTCAAAGGAATAACTTGTCTTTTGATTGCGGTCGGAGGTCTCGATGCGCTTGGCAAAAGTTGTTTTACCCGGGCCATCCTGAAAACAATACCTGTAGAAGTGACTATCTTATAGGTTCCCACTGAAAAGCAAGCATTCAGGGTTACACAGCTGCAAACATATGTACTTACTCGAAAAACCATTCCAAAGCATACATGGATTTCAGTTCTACACTGCGCGCTTCACTACAGTAAGATACTCGAAGAAATGTCGAGTCACGTGGTCCTGCCACGTCTCCCTTCTTATCGCGTGTACTGACGTCAGCAAAGATACCGTTCCACGTGTCACACTACCGTAGGATTAAAGACGGCTTCGTTGGTGCGTGTCAAGTGGTCAGGAAGCGTTCATAGTTTAGATCGCGCGACTTGAGCGTGATTATCGGTGGAGCACCTTTGCCACTTTCTTTCAAATATGGCTGTGGCGGCACTGGCGTCGGCGCCACAAGCTCGCGGGCAGAGGCACTTGCTGTGGGGGCCCCTTACTCCAAGTACATTATTATTTAGAGTTTAGGCATCAGTTTCCGGAATTCCTACGATAAAGGGGCTAAACCTGGCAATATGTATGATCGTTGTAAATTGTTAGTCCCAAACACGCAGTAAAAGAGTGTGCAGCACATTCAGTAGGATCTAAATGATTTTGCATGGAGCTTCTGCGCTGTGACAAGTCAATTAGCTAGGAAACACAGTTTACTCACGAGGCAGCGACTAAGGATTGAGGACGCATTCATACCTTGCGATTCCTTCGACGTTTGCGGGCGACAACGTTCAGAAGATTGGATACTAATCGATCCGACGTTTTCGATGTCTCGAACGTCGGATCAATATGTATAGTTTCCTTTCAACGTAATCTCTAAGGTAATCAGTCTGATAGTTTTCGGAACAGAGGTAATACGGCGGCAAGTGTACCGCTTTCCACATACAGAAACCGGGATCTCCGATGTCCTTTCTGGGCCAACCAAGCTCTCAGCCTCTATGGGACCATCGCAGGTCACAGTGTGGGTTGAATCGCATTTAAAACCAATACGGTCCTGAGTGGAATCGTAGGGGTTCCCAAAACGTATTGATCTTCACACGAGCTTCGCCCATTCATGTGTTTAGACCAATCAATATGTATCAGTGCTTTCTGGTACAAGGCCTAAACTCGCTATCATAACGACCACTGTGCAATAAGTATAAATATTGCTTACTCCCGCAAAATAATGCGCCTCTGACGAGAAACCATCGCGCGGCCGCCACACTCGAACGATATTATCAAAATGATAAGAAATCCACATCCCAGTGATAATCAGTACCGACGTCACTGATACGGGATCGTCTTCCCCGGTTCCAACCTGTCAGCAGCGCCGCGAGGCGAGAGCGGAACAACCCTGGGGGTAAGCGTGATCAAATTAACCAACGAATCCAAGGTTACAGCCGCGATAAGCACACGGCCCAGTGAAGGAGGTGATGCGGCAAGAGGCGCTGCTAAAGCGCTAATGATCTTAGGATCAAATCCTAGAAGAATCTTCGCTCAAGTGAGCCGAGTCCTGGGGCTTTGGTCGTCGACAGGGCCCGAACAAGCAGGAGCTTGCGCGGCCAAACCTCGCTGTCTGCTCCTTCGGGATGCTCCTTGCACACGATTTCCGTTTGATATGGGAAGTGGGGGATGAACGCAAGCGGTCCAGGTAAATAAGTCTGAGGAAAGGCGGACGTTCATCCACCGGCACTAACAGTTGGGGAGAGAGGGATAGCGCGCCTCCGTGTCCCTTCCACGAAAGGTGACGCAGGATTTGAGCGCAGACGAGTAGAATCGCCGAGGGATGTTCTGCGAAGAGGACATAGTTTTCACTGAATCTTAGCTTTGCTTAGAAGAAGGAAGACAAAGGCTTCGAGGGTGAAGTGGTTGCCCTCCGCCCAACTATGTTAAAGCCCATCCGCCTTCCTCACATTAACAGTGGTCTGAAATATTCATGGATCCAGACGACATTTAATTCAAGGTCCGCATTTTTACCAATTCTGAATGTCTGTATATAAGGAATAGGAGAAAATGGAATATAAGAACAAGCCGGAGCTATTAGAAAACCGATGAATTTCAACTCAGGAATGGAGGAGGCGTCGTTAGGCGCGATCACATTACAAGTGACGTGTAATGACAAGTAATGGCACGTTTTCTCAAAGTTGGACAACTCGTCCGAATCGCTAATGTGCGGTTTTCGTAGTCTGACAGACTATGCAATGTCGTATTATCTGCGCTGTTCCCACTACTCATCTAACCAGGAAAGGTCAACAGGTCAGCCTGGCCATTTGCAATGAGATGCACATCGTTGTACCCGTCTTGAGACGGTGAACTCAAAACTATCTTCAAAATTTGCGGAACGATTCTCTGAGCGGAGTTAGAGAGGTTTTTCTTTACTGTTTTTCTTCTTCCGGGCGCGCTGGCGCCGAAGCGTTGGCACCTGTAGCGCGACTCACAGCGCTCCTCGCGCAAAATAGGTATCATATTCGTGTTCAGGGGGTCAAATAACCCCTAGAGACGTCACCTCAGCGAAATCTGAG